GTTAGTGAGTTTCAGCATGTTATTATACTGTCACTATAGTTATTATTATTATCAACTATTGCTGCACCGATTTTTCGAGAAATAAACCAGTTTTTGACCGGCTATTTCTATGGGGGCAGATTTGGCTGAAAACTCGGTTCTAGGGAAGTTTAACCTTCTGAATACGGGAATCACATTAATTTGCGTTGAGTTGCCAAGCGCCCGCGCCAGGGTGCTGGCGTCAGGTACACCCGCCGAAAGCTTGTGCCCTTGGGTAGTTTGGGCCTCCTAACAGGAGTATCACATCCGCTCGACCTGGAACTGCCTGACGCCCTAGCAATGATGCCCAGGATCGCCGAATCCGCTGAAAGCCTCGGGGTTGTTGGACCTCCTAAACACGAATTTCACATCGCTCAACCTAGAATTGCCTGGATACCCACGATCATCAAACCCGCCGAAAACTTGTGCTCAGGGATAGACTGGCTTCCTAAACACGAGTGTCACATCCGCTCGACACGAAAGAGCGCTGAATACAATGTGCCGGGAAAAGATTTTGTATACTCAAACTTGTTTGAAGAATCGAATGGAACTCCCGACGCGGGGCGCATCCGAACAACTAACTCGCGACAAACTTTTCGCCGACGGTCGCACTAGGAGGATGTTACTGAGAGAACACGTTGGCTTCTGCAAATTCGATGTTAAAAGAAGTAAAAGGTGTATGAATAATGAAAACCTTGTAAAAATCGAAGCTAATAAGTATATGAGGCATTAATTACGCTTTACTGCCTAACGTTCGCACATGTGACTCTTTTTGTGATAGACTTTTTTTTGCGTTGGCACATGGCTGGGAACTCGTCTCCTAGGGTATTTTGATCTCCTGAATGCGAATATGACATTCGCATACCCCGAAACCTAACGCCCGCGCCACAGGCGCCGGTGATATTTGGTATTTTGGCGCCAGCGCCTGTAGAGTGGGAGCCAGGAGGTTTCAGGGTGAGCGTATATGATATTCGTGTTCAAGAGATCAGAGTACCCCTGAGAACGAGTTTTTAGCGATTGGTGATTCAAGGTGTTTTGGCGTCGGCGATTGCGGCACAGGCGCCAGGAAGTTTCGTGTTTAGCGCATGTAATATTCATGTTCAAGGCAAGTCAAACTAACCGCAGGAACAATCTTTTCAGCCATTCTGCCAACGCAAAGAAAAAACGCGTCGCAACTGGGCCTGTTTCGGAATTGGTGGCTAGGGAGTAATTGGTGAAGTGCCATATTTGATGCATTTCATAGTTAGTCAAACAATTTCTTAGTGAAGCTTGGCCCATAAGGTTTGATGACTTTTGATGATGACAGAAGCGTGGCATTCATTTGCGCAATCGGCACCATTTAGCGCTCTTTTAACGCCAGTGCCATTTATCGCTCTGATAAGGCTGTGCATGGGAGAGGAAGCAATCCCCTTTGGGGAGGCAGCCCAGGAGAAGACAAACGTAGTGTTCTCCATTCGCACAAACGTCAAGAATGGGGGTCACATCCGTAACCAGGATGCCTAAATCCCGTATACAAGTTTTCAGCTGATTCGGTGTTCTTGGTATTTTTGCGCAGGCACGAGGCAGCTCTAGGTTGAGCGGATGTGATATTCGTGTTTAGGAGCTCGAAAAACCCCGGCGCACAAACTTTCGGCGGATTCGGCGATCCTGGGCATCATTGCTAGGGCGCCAGGCAGTTCTCGGTCGAGCGGATGTGATACTCCTGTTAGGAGGCCAAACTACCCAAGGGCACAAGTTTTCGGCGGGTTTGGTGATTCTAGGTATCCTGACGCCAGCACCCTGGCGCGGGCGCTTGGCAACTCAACGCAAATTAATGTGATTCCCGTATTCAGAAGGTTAAACTTCCCTAGAACCGAGTTTTCAGCCAAATCTGCCCCCATAGAAATAGCCGGTCAAAAACTGGTTTATTTCTCGAAAAATCGGTGCAGCAATAGTTAATAATAATAATAACTATAGTGACAGTATAATAACATGCTTAAACTCATTAACTTCTAAAAACATTGTCCTTAAACAACAAGTTTTGCACAGAAGTAATGAGTCTGGCGTGTAATGTAGTGTGATCGTGCACCCGACATCAATGTTTTTCACTGGACGCGCAAATTTCGGGGGTACGGTACGCCGCCTGACAACCTGAACTTATAATCTTGTCCTCTCCACCCCATGAACGGTGGTAGACGCTGGCGTTCACTAGATCGATATTTATACTTTCTCAGTCGCTGGCGTTGGCGCACGCTCAAAACGCTGTTAGTCTCTAGTGGACGCAGACGCAAATTATAAACGCAGCCTGACAGTAAATATCTTTACCTGGTATACCATTCGTGTCACCTTGTCCTGCGCATTATTCAGTGGAGTGCAAATATGAGGAAGTTCAACAGGGTCTCCGATGAACTCACATTGATTCTGAACCTAAAACACCGTGCTACACGAGTGCCTACAGTGAAAAGTGAGGATGTTCAGTACTGCTATAGTGATGGTGCTGCGTTTCTTCCTGCATGCCGTACAGCGATATACCACTACCCCCTGTTTTGTAGTACGCACATGTTCGAATGCGTAACATAACTCTCCTCCTGAAGAAGTATTGGAAAAAAAGCATCGAAAGCATATAAAGACTGATTCAATATGCTTTATATACTCACCTGGAATGGGGTATCTTATAACAGGATGAATGCCCTTTTGACTGACCTCGAGCACTCCACGAAACAGATGCCCCGTCATGCTCACACGAATGCGACTATTAGGAGTGTATTTTCTTTTCTTCTGGGCTAAATGCAGCAATTTCTTATCATTTCGTGTGATTTCCAAGGAACAAAACCGCCAGTATAATACAATGGGGCATTTGATGATGATGATGACATAATAGTTTTTCAAAATAGGGCAGTCGCAATTTCACACAAGATCTCGCTTGAAGATGTGAGCCATGTTTCCGCCCCACTTTTTCTATTAGTGTTGGCCGAGATTCAATCAAAAGGCACGTCCAACGTTCATTTAATGGCGTCTTCTTTGGTTTAGTAGCCCTTTCTGCAAGGATAGGGATGTACTAAATAGTTTCGCCATTCAAAGATGCGGGAGGAAAGCGCACCGCGGCCCCGCCCACTGACGGAGGTGACGTCCAACTTCCATTTTTAACTTGTTCCGCTACTATCTCCCTATCGGACGGTGAGACTGACCTGACAAGGAGAAAAAGCCGACACAAGAAAGTGAAAACTCGTCCGACCACACCCTTTCTTCGCCTTGAGCATATATGAGCGCGAGGTTCTTTATCGCATATTTCCGGTAGGCTTTCAGTGCTTTTCTTCTTCCTGCTGGATCGCTTACTGCATTACAATCAGAATTTGAGCTGCACGACCCCTCACTTTCAAACGCGGACAAGTCCTCAAGGTGCAAACAAATGTCTGGATGCCAGAGGATGAGGATATTTGCTTCAACCGGTGCTCCAATTAGGCTCAAACAAGGATTTCTTGTGACCCTTCATGAAAAAGACGAATATCCGCAATGCTTATCACTGCATGCATCAAAACACCCCAGTATATCACACCAGCGCAAAAATTAGCAAGTGGATAAAGGTGAATAAATTACCTGAAGGTGATGCAGAATCCTCTCTCGAAGTTGATGGCTGCGCACTATCCGACGATAGAGCATGTGAAAGCGCCGGATATTTAACAGAAACGTCTGGCACCGAAGCACCTAAGGTCGGACTGTGTTCAAGCTGGTCGACCAGACAAACTCCGTTAGAATGAATTTGTAAGGCTGCGCTCACAATTTGCGGCAGCATTTTGAGCGATCAGGAAAGTATACGCATCGAGCTTGCGTTTCGAGTGTATGCCAGCGTACGGCAACGTATTCAGCGTTTTCGCGAGTAGCTTTCAATTTTCGTGGTCAATCGCTGAAAGTGAAAACGCTGGCGTGCACTCAAATCTCAAAACTCAACAAAACTCGATACGCTAGATCGATATTTATATTTTCCTGGTCATTGCAGCGTCAGTGACTAGAAAAGACGGATTTACATTTGGCGGATGCCAGCGTCCACGAGCAACCGAGAATGGAGAGTAGGGGAAGTAAGAGGGAGCAGGTAGCTGGCCAGGTGTCGTGAGAGGTGTCGCGTGTGCAACCGCACCGTACTACTACACAGTACCGTACATTAAAATGCATAGTTCTGTGCTTTAGAAAGGTTACAGGGCTTTTGTCAACAAAGCATTCTCTCGGTGGGAGGGTCTAGAGGTATTTCCCCATTGCATCTAAAAGTAACAAGGAACAGAGAATAAGGGGAGGAAAAGAAGGAAGTGAAAGAATATAGCAAGGAGGAGGAAGGCTTCGTGGTTACTACCCTAAAGCAGCGTTCAGACTTCGCGACGGCAGCGCCTCGGTCGCGCGTTCGGCGCGATCGATGCGCATGCTTTCGACTGCATCGATCGCGTCGAACGCGCGACCGAAGCGCTGCCGTCGCGAAGTCTGAGCGTTGCCTGCAGGGCACAGCGTTCGATGGGGATTCCCTATGGGGGGGGGTCGTATTTGGCCGCCAAAAGGGGGGTCGTATTTGGGCTGGGAAAAATTTATTTTTATAGTTGATTTTTCTCGCTTTGCGGACGTTTTGGAGGGGGGGTCGTATTTGGTCGTTGTTGGGAGGGGGGTCGTATTTCTGGCTAGGAGTTACGTGGTTCACTTCATGAGTTTTATGAATTTTCTGTGTTATAGGTACTATGTACGCCCGTACGATGTACGTCGCATGCCTACTACATATATATCGTAAAAGCTCGACCAAAATCCCCATCGAATGCTGTGCCCTGGTTGCCTGACGCTTTCGCAGCCGTACGGTGC